ATATTTGGTGAAGGTCAAAACTCTGTTTCTTTAAAGGCAGTACTAGATAAGTTATTGGTTGCTACCGAATCTGCTGGAGAACATTTGGAATTGGAAGCAGTCAGAAAGAATGGCAGTTCTCTCTCAGTTGGTGTGTCCGTATCTGTTTTCCACCATGAAAATAAGAATCTAATTACAATGCTATTGAGGGATATTACTTTCGAAAAAAAGGTATGTTTTTGTCACCTAATTCTAATAATTGAATCATAATAATATTATTATAATATTCCATTAAATAATCAATAGCACAAATTATTGCTGGCAGAGGAGAGGAAGAAAAGTGATAATCTACTATTGAACATTCTACCAGAACGTATTGCTCAAAGATTGAAAGCTGGTGAGACAAGTATCTCTGAAAAGTTTGATGATTGTACATGTCTGTTCAGTGATATGGTTGGTTTCACCAAAATGTCATCAGGTCTCACTGCCTATGAATTGGTGCAACTTCTCAATTCAATTATTAATGGTTTCGATTCTTATATTACCCCTCTCGGTTTGGAGAAGATCAAGACGATTGGAGATGCTTACTTTTGTGTAGGAGGACTGAATGGACAGACAGATCACCCGGAAAAAGTAATTACATTTGCCATTCACATGCTATCTGTCATTAATAACTACAATACCAAGAACAATACCAAACTCAACATCAGGTAGGTTTTTCTCAATTTGATTTCATATCTAATTAATCATTAGAGTTGGAATCCACACTGGTCCAGTAATTGCTGGTTGTATTGGCCAACAGAAATTTGCATATGATTTGTGGGGTGAAACTCTAATTATTGCCAATTGTACGTATTATTATAATTTTTGAAATTAAATTATCATTCGTGTAAAGTGATGGAATCTAAGGGAGTACCAGGAAGAATTCAAGCATCAAGAAAGACCTATGAAAGAGTATATGATATTTTCGAATTTGAGGAAATCAAGGGAATTGAACTAAAACCATCAGTGCTCGTAAATACCTACTTACTCAAAGAGAAGCATCATGACATTAATACAAACTTTAGTGATGGATTTGATAAAATGTTTGCAGGTCTCAATATGTTCAGTCCAAAAACCTATAACTTTTCCAAGATCATTCAAGACCGCTCTCTCATTCAAGGATTCAAGGATTTCTTCACAGACTCTGAAAAGGTGAATATCATTAACTTTTACGAGTTGTGTCAAGAGTATGTGAGCTCTCCAATTCCAAGTCTTCGTTATAATATGGCAGAGAATATGGTAAGAGATTACCTTGAAGAAACTGCTCCCAAAAGATTGCAATTAAAGTATGTGAAGAATGCTTTTGGCCCATTTCAAATGAAATTCAAGGACTGTAATGATGATAATTGTCCTTCTGATTTATTTGAGAACTTCCAAAACCTATGTCTCAAAGTAAGTATTATTATTGTTGTTGTTCATCCAATCATTACAATTACTGTTGTACAATATTATAATATAACAATAATCCTTTTAAAGGCATTACGAGAAGAATTTCCAGCATTCATCAAGTCGAAGAATTTCAATAAGTTCTTGGAGCAAAAGAAACGTAACCCAGAACAGCTGAGACCTTATGTGAAGGATGAAAATGATGATGATGATGAGGATGATGAGAAGGCCTTCTTCAAGTTTTGTGAAAAGTGTGGAACTGAAATTATCAATTTGGAAAACCACCGTTTCAATGATTATGAATTTAACAATAGAAAGGAACTCTTGTTAGAGTTGAATCAGTGGAGTATTCACTTTGAGGGTAGTGGTGGTAAGACCTATATCAGTCCTGAGGTTGCTCACAACCATTTGAGTAATAGTAGAAGGCACGTTCAACTCAAGTATGTGTACGATATGAATTGCAAACACAAGGACCTTTTCAATGCTTGGATTGATGAAAAATCCCTCTCAACACGAGTAGCACAATTAACCTCCTCCAAACATGTTGATTCTGTACAGGTTGGAAAGTACATGCACGTGGTTTGTCATGAAAACTTCAAGATGCCCTTCCCACGCTCCAAGAGAGAATTTGTTCATGCCTATTCTTGTTCTTACAATCCAAGTGAAGAAGTCTACATGTGTATATCACGTAGTATTAACAATCCGAGAGCACCTCCATCAAGACAAATTCGTGGAGAAATCAAGACTGCCTTCATGGTCAAAAAGTTGTCTGAAACCACTTGTAGATATTACTATTCTGTTATTATTGATTGCATGGGAATGCTCTCACCAGAGTATTATACCAAGAATATTTACAAGGAAATTCAACAAGATTGTTTCCATGTCAATTTGGTTAAATTTGTTGATGAATTTGCAAAGGAAAATCGACAACCTTCCGGACCATTGGTAAATTCACTCAATTATTATTTGGAACATCATGATAGTAGTAAATAAATAGCTTATTATTTTGTTATTAGTTTCCTGTTGTTGTTATGATGAGGATAGCTTATTGTTATGTTATTAGTTTTCCTGTTGTTTCCATCATTGCATGTGATGAGGTGGCAACGATATTTTTTTTATTATTAAAAAAATTGTGGACAGTTTTACCGTTATCGAATATTTACCTTCATCCCGAACTACAACATGCTCATCATGATAAATATTATAATTATTATTGGGTATCGGATGTAAAAACAAACAACTTGAAAATGTGCTTCATAATCATCATAGATATGCTAATGTACAAAAATGTTTCGCGTTTTACATTTCGATATTAAAATCAGCGGAATTATTTCCACATAAAGACAAAAAAACAACACAAAAAAACCATTCAATACTAGCACTGCTGGATTAATCATCATTCGAAAGGTTTGACACTCATTGCTTTACAAAAAACCTTTCGAATTTTTCAAAATGGTCTTTGGAAACAATAATTCATCATCACCGAATGATATTTCACCTAGGAATAGACGATTCGTATTTCAACAAGCTACTACAACACACCATCATCATAATCATCATCATCACCATCATGGTGGTCATCATCACGAACAAGAAGATGATTCATTGGTTGCGAGTGGAGAATTGGTGATGAGACAGAATGGATTTTTTGGTAGATGGAAAAAGTAAGTAAAATCTCCTTTACATGTGATTAGTTTACTTTCGTTCATTCACATGACTATTTGAAATGTTCATTTCTTTTGGTGTTGTCCAACTCTTAGATTCTTCTTTACACTAACAAAGGATGGAGCTTTTGTTAAATTCAAAACCTCTGATTTTCACACACCCATGCAAACATACTTTCTAATATATTCACACAATTTAGTTTGTGACGGGCACAAAAACGACAAGTACAATATGGTGACAACAGAGGCTGCATTTGAATCACCCACACTTCCTCAACCAGCTAATAATTTATGTGGAAAATCGAATAGTATGCTCTTGTTTGTGGAAAATTCAGTGGCAGAAAAGGAAACTCTTGTTGTGGTGGCTCCTTCTGCTGATCAGTACAATATGTGGATGAGAGCTTTTGAAATTGTATTTGAAAATGCAAAATATGAAATGACAGTTAGTACCATGATTGATGGTACATCCTCATCATCAGATTCTGGATCATCTTTCACAAGTCATGAATCATATCATTCAGATAAGCAAATTACATTTGATATTTACAAGAAGGGATTGAAGATTTCAAATTTAATTGATGCCATGACAGATCCTACTGTCATTGCAAATGATAAGGGAATAATTATAGGTGTAAATGGTGCAGCAGAGGCAATGTTTGAGTGGAAACATATTGAACTGATAGGAGAGAATGTCAAAGTTCTCATGCCAACAGTATTTGCCAAATATCATGACGAGTTTATCAATAATTACAAAAAGACGAGAAAGCAGAGAATGATTGGAAAGCCAAGAAATGTACTAGGAAAGACAAAAAATGGAAGAACATTCACTGTAGAGATTTCAGTGGGAGAAATTTCAGGACGAATGTCATCAGATATGATTCATTCATCGGAACATGAGAATATAATTGGAGATTTGTCATTTATGGCTGTGTTTCGAATTCCTTTCGGTTCTAGTTTCGGATCTTCTTCAGATTTATCGTGGGACAGCTCGAGTATGAGTTCCAGTGAATCATTCAATGAGAAGGAGAAGGAGGACGAACACGATTTTAACACCATGATCGAGGCGAGTGTAAAGAATTTTTCACATCACAACACAGCACCTCTACCACCTAGGAATTTGAGATTAAACATCTCCAGTTCAAAATCATCCTCAGCAGAGGATGTCTTTAACGATCCAGCTAGAAGTTATAGTGATGACGATAGTGATTCTTCGAGTGACAGCGATGTAGAACAGTATATGATTTCACCACCTCGTGGTGGACCAACACATTCAGCACTGTTCAATTGCATTTCATATTCACCATCCAGTTTACAAGAGAGAAAGGAAAAGATTTACAAACGAGTGGAAAAGATTGAAAAGAGGAGCAGAACTTTGAAAGATAACGAATTCAACAAGCTGAAATACAAATTTCTACTATTGGAAAAGCAGATTAAAATCATGGAAGAGGAAAATGAAAAATTATTCACTCAATTAGAAACACAACGAGAATCAATTGAATTATTGGAGAGAGAAAGCCGAGTAATGTTATCATCACCAGAAGTTTCAGTATTTATTGATATGGCAAACAGCCCTTCATCCTATGAATCAATTTTGAAGTGGGCAACTAAGAATGGTAAACTAAATCATGTCAGATGTTGTAAAAGTATAATTGATTTCAGTGCCAAATATTCCAAATCAATGAAATCAGCATCCTATTCACTCCACAAACAACACTTCAAGATGGAGAAGAATGCAAGAGAAATATTCGATGAATTCTTCTCTTCCCACGCCAAACATCCAGTCATTCTCTCGGAAGAATTGGCCGATACCCTATTATCACATTTGGACACTCCAACGTCTCACATGTTTACAATGATACTTTACGAAATCATAACGACTAGTATATCTTCTGAACAATTATGGAATAACGTATTTTCTGGACATATTTGATTAGTATTTCCCATTTTTTTGATTTTTGGTGAATTGACAGATTGGTAATAAACATTAAAAAAGGAAAGTTACCTTGAAAATCCAACTTTTACATTTAATTTCATTTCGAACCACACATTTCAAATTTAAAATACTTCCAAATCAGTTGTTTTCAAAATAGTGCATTTCCTTTTAATTTTTAAATTGTTGATTTTCCCGATTTGTTTTTTAAACGAATAACTCACTCTCTATCATCTTAACACAAAAAAAAGAATAGAAACAGTAAACTAAACCTTTCCAATACAGTCAAAAAATGGGTAAATTCAAAACTCTTGTCAGAGCATTAGCAATTCCAGCTGCAGCAGCAAGTTTCATTCCATTCGCCTTGGGTGTTTGTTCATTGGGTGTAACTGCTCGTTTCCATGGCAGTAACATCAACTATGAAGCTTACATTTTCGATGCCTTGTTTGTCATCTTGTGGTTGGGAACTTTCGCCATGTCCTTGGCTACTCTCCTCCTTCCTCACTGGAGATTTGGTATTCCATACTTGATTTGGAGTTCTTTAACTTTAGGTTTCTCATTCGGTTATGCTCTCTTCTGGAGTCCTTACATGAGAAATGCAACTGCCTTAAAGTCATATACTGGAGCAGGTGCAGCTGATCACTTGGCATTCTCTACAGGTATAATTGGTAGCGTACTAGGTACTATTCCAGTAGCTCATGCTGGTATTGCTGCAGCTAGAGGAAGAAAGACTTCAATGGTTAAGACTAATCAACCAGTTGCTACTACATATGCTTAAATGTAATTTAATTGTGTGTAAATATACTATCCTGATTATTAATTGTGTTTATTGAAGCATGTTTGAAAGATTGCTTTTGTAAAGTTGTTAATAGTTGGTTGACTGTTTGTAAATAAAATGTATAATAATATGTGAAACAACTATTAGAACATTGAACAAATTGGCACAACGTCAATCCACAAATCATCTTTCCAATTTGATTGAATATTCAAAGATAAAAAAATGTTTCAAGGACATTACGGCCCTGCTGGTTTATTATTCTTTATCCGAAACCACTCCATTCCACTCTCATGGCTCATTCTCTCCACGCAATGGATTGATGTTGTATTTTATACATCTGCCATTCTGTGTGAAAAGTTATTCGATTCACAAATTGACTCTTGTCCATACAAGCCATGGATTTGTGGAGAATATGCAACTTATAATGTGGATTTGATGAGGAAGGGAAGAGTTACACCTATGGATTTTTCTATTGATTATACACATTCCATTTTGGGAGTTTTTATTCTGTCACTTGTCTATTCGATGATTTATTGGATTTATTCGAAGGTTAGTGGAAAGAAAAAAGTTGATTCTTTGGGAAAGATTGTTTTCATTATGTTTTTAGGAGCATTTTCTCATTGGATTTTGGATTTTCTTGTTCATAGAAAGGATTTACTTGCATTCTTTCCAATAAGTAATTGGAAAGGTGGCTTAGGTTGGTGGGATTATCCTAATGAATACGTATTTTGTTTGGAAACCTTCTTAGTCTTGTTGGGATGTGTTGGAATTTTGATTGGTAAGGCAAAGAGAGGTCAGAAATTAACAAGTGCCAGATTTTTATTGTCATTTGGCTTGTATCTTTCAATTTCTGTAATATTGACCTATGTAGCTGTTTTTGATGATGCCAAAAAACATCAAGAAAACGTAGATAAGGTAGTTCATGGATCAATCGTTAAAAATGGTCCAGATTTATTGGTCTTGTTCACTTATTTCGTCAGTGCAACTTTGGGATATTTCATGGAAGAACAACAACAGATTGTTCAAAAGAAAGATTAAAATTTTTGAGTGGAATATTTATTGGAATTACATATTTAAATTACGCAATTAAATTTTTAAATATTTTAATTTTTTTGAAGTTTTCATATTTCTACATAATTTAATACCATTTGTGGTGAGATTATTTTTTGTAATGTCAAGATCAGCCAAACTTTGCATGTTAGAGATGAATTGTGCACCTTCAAAGCCAATGTTACAATCGCATACGTTCAATGCTGTCAAATTATTCATTCCACTAATGTATTTGGCACCTAAATCTGAAATTTGGTTATGAGAAACGTGTAACCTTCTCAAGTTAATTAGTTCACAGATAGTTTTTAATCCTTCACCTGTGATTCCTGCTCCTTTAAGATCAAGATATTCCAAATTATATAGCAATCCAATACTCAAAGCACCTTCATCTCCAATCAGATTATCACATAAAAAAATGCAAGTCAATTGAGTCATTCCTGATAGTATTTTAGCACCATCTGAAGTGATATGATTATCATTGATACGGAGAACCTTAAGGCGTTTCATTTCAGCAATGTATTTTGCTCCTTCATTTCCAATTTTGTTTGTTGTTACATCTAGGTTGGTTAACTTCAAGTGAGAAATAGTTTCCAAATTTGTGATCTTATTATTCTTTAGATTTAGGGTGACTAATTTCTCAAGATTATTCAATGATTTTAGTCCTTGATCTGTTATTTCATTTTCCCCTAAATCGAGGTAAGCCAATTTGCTCAATTTACCAATTGATTCGAGTCCATCATCGCCAATTCTATTTCCACTTAGCTCAAGTAATGTTAAATTTTTCATTTCTCCAATATTTCTTGCTCCAATAGATCCAATTCCATTTTCACAAGCTCGGAGATATTTAATTTGCTTCAATTGGCTTATGTTATTGGTACCTAAATCTGCGATTGAGCATCGATTGATAGAAAGATTTGTCAAATTTGATAACTTTGCAATTAGATGTGCAGATTGGGGAGTTAGTTCAGAAGAATTAATACAAAGTTCGGTCAACTTGGAATGATTGGATATCTCATTGATTGTTTCAAGGTTACAATCCATCATTTTGAGTGATCTTAATTCTGACATTTGACTTAATGATATAATTCCCTCATCGTCATAAGTATTTCCTTTCAACTTAAGACTAGTTAAGTTTTTTAAATTACCAATAATTTCCACTCCGCGTCTAATCTTACTCCATTCAATTCTGAGCTCAGTCAATTGATTCATTTCACCTAATTTTTGTACACTTTCCATATCAATGCTACACCAATCAATTCCAAGACAAGTTAAATTAGGTAATTCAAAAACACATTTTAAAAGTGACAAATTGTGTGAAACATTCACTCTTTTCAAGTTTGTCATTTTCTTTAAAATTTCCAATAATTTCCCATCAGCTTGTTTAAATATAGATAAACTAATACCAATAGTTTCTATATTTTGTAGAAATTGGCTATTTTCCAGTCCATCAATTTTGTTTTGTGTAATAGTTAAAAGTTTGATGGAAAGTTTAGAATAGGATTTGATGACTTGTAAAAATTGTTGTGAAATTAACGCGCAGGATTTAATTACAAACAAAGGTTCACAGTATTGTATAATTTCAAAACAAATGTCATCAGGAAATAAATTGCTTCCGATTTTGGATGATGGGGTTTCGTCTAGATTCATTTTTTTTTTACTGCAATTGATGGTTGACATGTCAGTTCCAAGGTAAAATTATGTATTTTGAAAGTATTCTTTAAGGATGAGAATTTTAGATAAAATCTTATTGTTCTTAATCCTCTTTTTTAGGAAGGATGAAGAAAAGGTGATTGCAAATTTCCACAAACAGCTCGAATATTCTGATTGATCAAAATCCAAAAGATTAATCATTTCCAAAATTAATTCCAATTCTTGCTTGTTTCCGTTCGAATTCATTACACACAATATTGCATAATGAAAGAGTTTTTCCATTTGGAAATGGTGAGCAGTTATGATGACAGAAACAAGTTCTGTAATTGTGAAATTCTCCATTGACATAATTATTTCTGGATTCAAAGAGCATACCAGAATTATAAATCTTAAATGCTCGGTCATGTTGATATGTTGGTAAAACATGTCTGTTGAATTTTCTATCAGCATTTTCTGGAATTCGAATAAATCAATCAAAGGTTCATTTTCATCATTTTGAGAGATTAAGTGAGCAAATACTGGACTCGCCAATATTAATGATATTTTGTTAACTTTTAAAAGTTCAGTTTTTTCATGGTTAATAATTATCGAAACACTATGCTTTCTATCCAAATTTTCCAAGTATTCCTTATAAAGCAAGTTCAATGACTTTTCATTTGCTGTTTCGGTCCAATTAATGTCGTATATTTGAGATTTCTTTAATTTCTTTGAATTAATTATTTTTCTGATTGTACTCATCATATTTTTATCTTGGCATTTGACAGAATTTAAATTTTCTGAAGTGAAGGCAAGACATCTTCCCATCATTAAATTAATCAATTTACCATTAGGATAAAATTTTAACCATTTTGAAATAATTTCGATCATGATGCATACATTATCTTCATTTAACTCTTCAACGAATAGTGAAAATAAATATTGTTTTAGAGATAGGCCAATATCTGAAATATTACCAAGTAATGCTAGTGCTGTTATGATATTCTTAATAAGAGATTCTTTTAACATGTATTTGAATCGTTCCAATATATTTACAACGTTAGAATGTTCAAGATATTCATCACTATTCGAATTTGGGTATTGTGATAATTTGCATATGAGAATTATGAGTTCCTTAAAAATTATTATACTTTCTTCATCCAAATTGTCCAATAAATTGGTTTCACTAATCAAATTACTCAAATCCCCAGTTATTAATTTGAGAAATTCCAAATTTACAAATAAATCAGTTGATCCCACTTGTGTGAAGTATTTCAATAATTTGTTTCTATCATCAATAATAGATTTTCCACAAATTATTGTTTCGGATATCATCTCTTTTGTATAGTTTCCAATTTCTTTGCTTGCTTTATGGTGTCGTATCAGAAAGCCAGTACTTAATCCAATAAGGTCAATTGAATCTCCTTCATCCCACTCAAATGGCAATTTTACAACATTTTCATTCGCCTTGCTGAAACTCAAATGACCGAATTTATCTTTACAAAATTCCAGAATTCTCCTTTTCGATGTTTTCAATAGCACAGAGTTGGTGCTCACTACAAAGTCATCAATTTTTTCTTGATTCTGCAAGCAAATTATCTCCTCTTCGTATCTGAATAGTTTCATTTCACCATCATACGTCAAAATAAGTAGAAATCGATTATTTAATAATTCTACCTTTTTAAAAGTATTCCAATGATATCTATACAAATCCAATGGGTGTAGGTACCCTCTTTCAATAATAGAATCCAATATTTTTTTCACTTTCGAATAACAATGTAATTCGGACACTGTATTTTTCACATCAAGTACTTTTTCTCGAGTATCCATCATGAAAATTCTTCCATTTCTTGTATGAAAATAAATGTTACATTCTCCAACATTATCCATTCGAATATCTACAATTTCATCATCATCCTCCTTGTCTTTCAAAGATTTAACATTTGGCAATTTCGAATAACCCTTCACAACTAAACACCTTTCCGAATAAACAACAAAAGCGAAACCAGTCCTATCCAACATGGCAATGATCATTTCTCTACCAATAATTTTTACTAAATTATTGGGAAAATATTCAAGCAAGCCAACACACTCATGATTGAATATTTTTGAATCACAAGAAGCCCATTGCGGTGGGAAGAATGTGGTGCCTCTGTAATAATATTCGTGCATTTTTTTTGGAATTTTTATCATGTCCAACAAACTACAACTGGCAGGGGGGAACAATGTTGATGTCCGCGTGTTACTGAAAAATAAAATAAATAAAATTATGGGTCAAAAAACTACTAACTACCAGCTGATTTTAAAAAATATTACTTACCCTCTTTTTTGGTTGATAAAAGTAGTCATCGAATACTTTGGTATTATTTACAATAGTGGTATTGTTACATTTAATATAGATTCAGGATATTATACAAGCCATCATCTTGTAGTTACACTCACTTTTTTGAACAATTTTAATGGTTATTAATGTAGTACAAAAGAGGAGTGTAGTTGTTAATTTTTATGGAGAGGATTTTTGACTTGATGTTGACAATTAAGATTAAAATCATTGTAACGTAATAAATATATATTTTAAAGATACCATTGTATGTAATAATGATCTAAATCACTGTTAGATAGTATTCTGAAAATTTAATCCAATGGATGTTCTTACATAACAAGTTATAAGGTATTAAGCGAATACTATATTTGGTTTAAAATAAATCTGAAGGCGCCATTGAAAATTTTATTAAGCTATTTTGATCTAGTGATTATCTTGTCAAATGAGCCATCTTTCATCTCCTTTCCATTAGAATCAACCATTATAAATGATTTTTTCAAATCCTTAATAAGGTTGAAATGATTTTGAATGTTTCGAATAACATTTTCTTTACCAAATACATGCTCCAATATTTCTTTCAAAGCAAAAACATCTGCAGCTGCTGTATGTTGATTTTCAATCGATTGTTTAAATAATTGCTGATAAATATTTCCTAACTTGCATTGATTTTTCCCCAGTTTCAATGTTTTCTTCAAAATTGGGATTGTATCTAAGAAAATAAGGCGACTATTTTTCATTCCATCAGTAATCTTGGAATTGTTGATTCTCCAATGATTAAATGCTCGATGTAGAACACTCTTATCGAATGGTGCATTATGAGCAAGAATTAATGATTTCTTTGGTAAAAAATCAATAATTAATTTCACTGCTTCCATTTCCTTGGTTCCATTTTGCACTAATTGATTAGTAATTCCTGTTAATATTTCAGCATCTCACGAGAGATTTTCACTCTAGGTAAAATATATTTTGGAAAGGATAAAGTTTCGTTAGTGGAGATATTGTAAATACAGCAATCTGTTGGTGCTCTTGTTTGAAGATCAGTTGTTTCAAAATCTAAAATCAGTACATCATATTCCTCAATTGGTTCAATTAGATTACATTTGAATTGATGAGTTGTGCATCCACCATTATTAAGACAGCATTGTCTACATGATTTACAGGAAGCTTTTACAGCTTTTCTTCCCTTTCCACATTTACAAATTTGAGTTTTTGAATTGGATTTGGTTACTTTCTTAGGAGATGTGACTGAAATTGTTATATTTTGAGTGTTATTATTTTGAGATGGCTCTACACTATCAGATTCAATCATTATTTCATCTTCTTTTGGAGTCAATTTGAATTTTTCCAATCTGATTTTTCTTTTGAGCTCTTGATGAAGGGCATTAGTTAAATAGCATGAATTGACCATACAATCTGCTACTACTTTTGCCTTATCTGTAGAGCAATCATGTTTTGTTCGAAGGTGATTCAATAAATTCTTTCCAACTGCATAATTCTTTTGACATAAAGGACAAACTATTTGATCATTCTTATTACCAACCACATCTGTATCTTTTCTTAATGGAATTGAATCTTGTTTTACATTAATAGTCTTAATTTTGGATTTCACAGTATCAATCACATCTTTCGGAATATTAATGGTCTGTACATAATTGTCTGGTAATGGAGGAATGTCATCAAATTCAATATTAAGTCTGGCATAATGTTCAGAAATTTTGAATTTTGGTAATGAAAATATTCGAGCAGATTCTGAAATATGGTGAGGGTAATATCTATCCTAATAATCTAGCCAGCGATGGATTTTTAAATTTTCGTCAGATTAAATCAGATAAAAGTAGATTCGAGCAGATAAATATCCGACTTTATTCAGTTTTAATTGAATAAATCCAGATAAATCCTATTATTGATTAGAAATATACCATTCATCATCTTCTGAATCTTGGTAAACTTCTACCCTTTCAAATGATTCAAAATTTTCATATAGCCAGTGAAATTGGTTGCTGACATCAATTAGTTTACCTCCTTTACCTTTCATAAAGGTTCACAAATAAAATGCTTGTGGGGCTTCATTAATTGAAATCCTTCTTTGAAATACAGCTTTCTTTCCAACTATTGTAACCATTTGGTGAATAATATGGTAATAAGTTTGTTTTCTATCTTTTTTAATGATGCATTCACCTAGTTCAATATAACCATTAATTTCAGATTCTATAACTCCAATACACGTTGACTTGATTGTCGTGATGTGTCTGAAACTTTATATCTTGTAGATATAAATCTCTTTTGCCTATTGGCATCCTGTTTTGATTTTTCAATATTAAAAAAATTATTAACCACTTTGTGGATTTTCATTTCATATTCAGAATCAGCTGATAAATTGAAATATGCACCTGTCTGTGAAGAGGTTTTCCTTATTTTCTTTTCTAGGCATATTTCTTCATTCTCAAATATTAATTGTGTATCCTTTTCAATCTTATAAAATTGATTCTTTTCAATCTCTGAAAATTTTGTAAACTTGTAATCTTCATTCCAAAGTGAATATCCACAAAATGAATTACAACATGTTGATAATAACTTGATGAGAGAAATATCTTTAAATTCCGAATCCAATTTTTTGTAAAGAGTTGTTGTTTTTTCAAATTCTTCTGTAATGATGAAGTGAATATGTTTTGATGATGGAAAATTATCAAACACCTCTAAATCTGATATAGTTAAAGGTGTATCATCAAAAATGGCATTATATTTTGAAGGTTTGGTGTTTTGGAAGCATGTTTCACTTAATTGTTCTTCTATTAATTGAGAAACAACTCTGATAAACTCTTTATAATTTAAATTCCGCTTGTTTCCATAAAATCCTCTGGCTTCACTAAATAAATTCTCTAAATAATATTCTTGCAGCTTAAAAGGAAGCAATCTAGTATTTGAATTTCTACACTTGTCCATAAGTAATGTTAATCCTATCACTTGTTGAAAAACAGCATTTAGTGTCTCAGTTGACCAAGAGTGATCAGGAATTCTATAAACGTGTCTTTGGGTTCCATCTTCATCTTCTTCAGTAAGAGTTCTAACTTTGTAGTTTTGAAATAAAAAGAAAAAGAATGATCTCCATCCATATCTCAATCTTTGGTGGTGAGTTAATTTTTTTTGTTGAATGGATCTTGTTAAATATCCAATATGATTCAAAACATAATACACAGCACTGGCATTTTGTTCTAATAAATTCAAAACTGCATCACTAATGAGAAAATTAGCTCTGGAATGATTTTTTTCGTTATCTAAAAATCCAGAAGGAAATGTCAACTCTAGGTATTGACTTCTATTAAAATAGAGATCCCAAATATCTTGAATAATGCATGGTGTTGTACCAATTGATATTAATCTGCGCTCTTAAAACATCATTATTTATAAGACTTCATATACATCAATATATATCATTAGATAGGAAATGCTCACGGCTACATGATGATATATAATTTTAATATGTGTTGGGTTTGGGTTTGGGTATGGCGAAAACCTATTCTCATAAAATGAACCACTAATATTGGCTATCCAGTTATTATATATGTATTACTATATAAAATAATCTATCTATTCTGTAATACACGTGAAAAAACTCCCCGTAGTTATTGAGATAATCAAAAATGGTCAACTCAAAAATTCCTAGTATATCTATTATCTCTGCGACGAGAACGTTCCGGGTTATGATCACTCAAAATC